AGATTAGCGCCCAACGACGATTTATTCTGTAATTAACCATGGAAAGCTAATGTGAAGTTATTATTAATTAACACTAATATAACTTTATATGATATCAGAATGTTATGAAATGTAAAAAAATACGATGTGATATTAATAATAATAATAATAATAATAATAATAATAATAATAATAATAATAGTTGTAATAAATAATAATTGTATAATAAATATTACAAATGTACTTATATCCAAGTAATTTTAGATTAACGCTACAGTAAAAAATTAGTATTACATAATATAAATAATGCAATACATCAAAAAATTTCTCATACACATTTGTTTAAATTTTTAATTACACATACGAAAATTATTTTTAAGATAAATTAACTGAATTCAACAAATTTTCTATAATGCTAGCCGACAAAGATTATATTTAATATTATAGACAAGTAAAGTAAATTAAAAATTGTAGATATGGTAGAAATATTTTGTGAATTCTCTGCGGCAAAGATTATAAGTAGTAAAGGTCCGTCGCGTATCAGACACGCGGCGCTCGTTCATGGAACGTCGAGCGCAACTTTCGGATTTTTCTCGCGAGCGAATCAATTGTCAGCGTAACAATGGTCGACGGCTTCGGAGACGGAGAAAATTCGCGCTTCGGGAGAGGATGGGACGACCGGCGGATATCTCTCCGACGGATAAACGCCGCTATAAAAGGCCGTGAATGCCGGGTATTAGCGCCACTAAAGCGTCGTCTTGCGCCGCCCTCGTGTAATCTCCGTCGAGATTACGACGTCCGTCTGCGGAATCCCGTGGGAATGGAGCGTTCCTTCCCACTCCCATTGAAGTTTCTGCTCTTCAGCATATTGATTCGAGTCGACGGCGATCGTATCGCGGAAACGGCGATTATTCGGACAACGATTATTGAATTCTTTTCCGCGTCGCTAATTTAATCACGATGGGGCGATATCTTTTTGCGTACGAATGGTCTGCAATTAGAATCGAATTAGTCTTAATCGTTCTTATGACCATCGATAACGTAAATGCGCTTGTACCCTTTTCTTTTTCAAATTTAACTGCCGAACATGAAAAATTAAAAATAATTAGTAATTGCCTCGTTAAATTTAAATCCATATGTCACATTACAAATTTAACATAGATAAATACCTGTTCCTATGATGAATGAAAGTCGGTAATTAATGCATCGCTGTGAAACAGATTCTTACATTTATATTTTACGTTATATATTTTTTCTTTTCATTTTGTCGTGTCGTATAGCTCTGAACGCGAGTCGACAATACTGACTCTTGCTCATAGAACACGTCCCGAAAATATCGCCACGTACTTCAGATATAGCCGGAATACGATCGTCGACGATATGAACAAACAAGTCACGCCGGCGACATGGTGACACTGCACTTCGTTCGAAAGCGAAGTGTAGTGATTCGGATTATCTACATAAAGATCCACACGAAGCTTCGCGACCGTCTCGAGGAGGCGAGATCGATCCCCCGCATGGCTCGCAGTTGCACAGATGGCCGCGATCGAGGTCGCAGTCGCACGTGTAGTCGAGTAAACCAAATCGGAATATTTCGTCGTGCGTGGAAAATATCGTCTCGCTTATCGAGGTCGCTTATCGAGTTTGCCCCACCGCGAGAAACCCTCGTCTTCGCGAACGCGATCTCTTTTTCTTTTTGCGCTGCAAAATCTTCCCGAAGGGAGAAGGAAGCACGAGCGAATGGAGCGTACATGTCGATCGGCATCGTCGCCGTAGTCGATGTCGTCGTGACAATAGCCGAAGGCAATTTCCATCTGACATCCGGGCGACATATTGGGACGAGACTCTCATCGGCTTGTTTGCGTTTACCTCGGCTGTATCGTGAATGCATCAGACTGGTGATGAAAGGGAGAAAAAGACGATGCCAGTCAGGTAAAAGCTGCTGCTACTGTTGCTGGCTTCACTTCCTCGTCCTTTTTGCCTTTCTCGTCGGACTTCCGCTTATACTTGCCTAGGGCTAGACACATGCGATGCTTCTCATGCGAAAGTATTTTATTCGCAATTAAGTCAAGATTGATATACATATAATTTTCCTTTATGAAATAAGAAATGAAATACGCTGTATTTTACATAAATGCTTATTTACTTTGTGCTTATTAAAATATGTTATTACTTACTTTACATACACATATATATTTTATATTATACTAAAATGTGATATGAAATTATTAATAGCAACGATAATACTCGAAATAAAGTTATCCCCTTTAAAAGTTTCTTCGTGCCACGTAACATAGCCTGAACTATCAAACCGGGAAAAAACGTGCATATTGCTCACACGTCAATTTTTTCTGCTTACAGTGCCACCAGCGAAGCCGATAATCTATGATGCGAAGAGGCGAGACATGAGTAAACTCCTCGAGGCTTACCCGGAGGGAGCTGACTTGTTCCTGGTCTGCGAAGTGCATGGCGGTAAGTGTCAGTTATAATGTCAACATAATTTTATGGATACATAATTTTAATAATTTTCTTTGAAACTGGCAATTGCGTATTAATATTTAAATTTTAATCATAAGCATCTTAAATTATAATTTCGAACGATCTTAAAATTAAATTCACGATAAAGTTTTAAAATCAATATCACTTGTACCGAGGATCTTAACGCAAAAAAAAGTCTCACAGCTAAGTAGACAAGTAGATAAGTTAATTTACGTAATATCAAAATTTGAGCCTCGAAAAGAAGAAGGAAAAACACATTACAAGCTAATCTATCGCCTTTTTCATCGAATGCAATTCAACAAAGCGCCCTACACCAGTTTTGAAAGACGGTTTGCCCCGATGAGAGAGTGTTCAAAGTCAGACTGCGAGTCGAGTTAGCTCCGCGAATCGTTTCGCGAACAAATAATCGGCGCGCGCGAATTGCTCGAGGCAACGACGAAGGAGGCGTAAACGTACGTTGTGCATGCCGAACGAAAAATCCCATCTCGCTGAAGAAGCGTGGGTATTCACTGGCGCGACGCCAATTCCATTTAGAGTCCTCTACACGACGCACTCAAGGAGAACGCCGCGACGCGAGCGGTAACGGGAGATGGCTCACGAAGCCGGGAGAGGCGGGGTGGGGGGAGCTTAAAAGAGTCCGCTCGCTTTTTCCCGTAGGCATCGAGAAACGACGATGCTGGGCGACTTGTCGCGCGGTGGCCGAATCCATCCTGGACCAACGCCAATTTCGATCCCCGTAACTGCCACCGTTCCGATGCACTCCGCCAGAAATCGTGCGCTCGCTTCCGTCGTCGTCGGAAATAAATTATCGCGCCCGGGGCTCCTATCCCGCGATAACCGTGCCATTAACCCTTTCAGTGTACCGGAGCTACACTCGTTAAAAGAAACGTAACTTTTTATACACTTTAATTTTAGATGATTATATCTTCAGAGCGCACATTCGGGAATTTTCTTTTTTTTCTTTTTTTTTTCTTTTTTTTTTCTTAGTTTTGAATGGAGTAGAGTTTCGGGAGGATCTGGGCGGTTGTTAGTTGTCGGCGAGCAGTTTTGTTCCGAAAGTAGCTTTAAAACTACTTATTTGGACAGCGCGACTACTTCACTTTTATAAAGACCTCAAAATGGTAGCTTTAGTACGAAAGCGTTAAGCTCAGAGAATTAAATTCCGGCATTTCTTACTGGAAATGTATCATGTGAAAATTTTGGAGAGTGTTATACGTTTTCCTTTTTTCGTCTTCTCGATAAAAGTCCGCGATGACGAAGTAAGAAACACTTTTATTTCTTTCTATATATTAACGTTTCGCGGAAATGGTAAATGTAAGGAAGAGACGAGAAGTTTGGTATCCAAGAAAAATCAAGATGAGAAGAGAAGAGGGCGGAAATGACCTCGCAGTTCGCCACGTTGTTGTGTAATCAACTTCTTGAAAAGCCGCCAAATTCGATTCAGAAATTTATATAGGGGAATCCACCCATCTTCAAAATGATATACGGCATCTTCGCTTATGAACACATTTCAAAATTCACTCTACAATTATTTTATCTGCGCAAACGCAGACGCACTTGAACACAACAACGAATCTTTAAAGAAACTGACTCGATAACGAAAGTTTAAATTCCGACGATATAAAAATGAGAAACTCCCTTTGATAAAAATACGAAACGGACGATGGAGCCGGAGATAAACCCCCTTCGGAGACTCGGAAAGGGGTAGCGGAAAAGATGAAAAGCGCGCGCTGGCAAAAGATTAATGTACAGTTGACTCCGTCGTCCTGCCAGGCGCGATGAATCCGTTGGATACGTGCCAATCTCCGCCAGCATTGCCGAGCCACTATTTCCAGTTTAACACGGACCACGACCTGCCTCGACGTCCGATCTTCGGCGCGATTCCATCCGCGGAATTGTTTCGAACTAAGTTTTATTTCCCCGGGAATATTCGATCCTCCTCGCGAGCGCCGGTTACCACGTCACGTCGCGCAAACGTATTGCATGTCGGTACTATGGAATTTCAAAAGGGCGGATACATAATTAATGGCGCGCCTCGGCATCGGTTGCTGGAATACTTATTAGGCAATCGCGCCGCGGGGTTTGCACCAATATAATTGTATGAATGTAAGCCGTTACGTGCTGTTATGCGTGTCTCGAGAAATGCTTTTGGAGAGTGAAATTATCGGGAGTCAATAATTCTCACTTCTCTCTCGGGGGGGGGGGGGGTGAATGTCAATTCTCAGTTTTCAGTTTTCAGGAACGATTCTCTCGGTCATGACTTTTCTTTGATTTGAGATAGATGTGATTTTTTTCGTGACTCGAGATTATTACAATAGCGTTATCGAAAGTAGTCAGTATTCTTGGTACGAGGCTATTGGAGAAATCGGCGATTTTTCAGAATTTCAGAAATTTCAAAGATCAACGATTGCATTCGCGTAGCATGGCAACGATTTGAAATTATTGCATATTTTGGGTTTATCTCCGTCTATCTATCTCGTCCTATTTATTGTTACATTTCCATTGTTGCGCTTCTTATTTATTATTACGTTTCTATTGTCGCGCCTGGTTGGAGATTCTTCGGAGACCGCGCGCGATTCATTCAGCTGTCATCTTCTTTTTCTTTTTTTTTTTTTTTTTTTTCTACCGTTTGTAAGTCGTAACAAGGTATTTTCTCAGGATATCGTGTTCAGCCTTACAATCTTAACCGGTATATTATCTTCGGATATTAACATCGAATCGCATCGCTGTATAAAAATATTTCACTTAATGCCATTTTTTTTAATTACGATTATTATACTAAATTTAAGACGATATTTATTTTTACGAGAGGCAAGAAGATTTTTGAAAATAATTTGCTTATTAACGAGCGTCGTATTACTCGGCAGAAATTTAAGGGAAGTGGCATAATTCTCCCGGTCGCCGCCGCCGTCGCCGCCGCAACGCGACATGTTTTTACTGTCATTGCAATTTCACCTTTCACCGCGTTTTCGGCGTCGAGCGGAAACGCCGCTCCTCGGGACAGGTGATTTGTCACACGGGAAACGAGCTCGCTTCGTCCGACTTGCCGCCGGAGTTTTTCGCGCGCGCGTACAGGTAGCTGATGACTTCGGGGCGGGAAAAGCTCATGACGAAACGCGAGATGCGACAGTAAAGAAACGGGAAAGCGAGGTAAATAAGAAGGGCCGTCGCCGCCGCGACGTCGGATGGAAAACGCAACGAGCGAGAACTTTCGGCGCATTTGTACTCTCCCGCCCCTCACCCTTATAGCACGCCCTCTCCCGCACGCCTTCTCTACGTCTTCCCCGTCTGATATGGAAACTCTCCTGTCTGCTCTCCCGATCTCTTCGGGAACAGCTGATTGCTCGTATTTCTCATTCGCCATGAAATACAGAGAAGTACAGAGTACTCACTTGTTCGTATGACTTTTCCGCTCGTTGCTCCCCCACGAGCCTCGTCGCCCTGACTCTTAGCGTGCAACACACATTTTCTTTCTTTCGCTTTTTTTATCGCGACCGCCTTTAGGAGCGGTAATCAATTATCTTCCTCGTCATTTTCGTATTTCTAATGTCGGTTACCTTCGAATCATCACGAACTCGAGTTGCGAAAGCAGTCTTAATTTAGACTGAAATATAAAGTCATGTTTTTTTTTTTCGATCTGTATCGTTACATCAATAAATGAGTAATAAATTTTCGAGAGCCCAGCAAAATAAACGTATTTACGCGGGTTTTGAAACATTTGGGCAAATGTTTGCCCGATTAGCTGCCGACTACACTTTTACGGGTTTATTTACCTCTCTCGCGTCAATGAGCGCGGTAATTACGCGTACCTTTTTGCAGACACCGCGGAAACCTCTTTCGCCTTAACCGGCAAAACCATGGAAAGCGTCCCGATATAGCGTGTATATACCACCAGCGTGTGCATTTAACACCTGTGTCGCAAAATATAATACGTCCACGCCAATTTCATAATGCAGCATTCGCCGCTACCGCTGCAGCAATCCACGCACGTATGAAACGGAGAGGAAAAAGACCGAGGGTGGCCGAGGGTAGCGGAGAAACGCGAGTATTTTTGCGGCTTAATTCAAGGCTCCATGCGCGACGTAGGTGAACGGTGAGGGAGAGAGGCGGGGGGGAGGGAATCGTTGGCCGATATAAAAAGGAAATAAAACGCGAAGCCCAGAACCCCGAGGGAAATACCAAAATTGTCATTACGAAAATATATCGCGCTCGCGAAGTGTCTCGCGCGAATAATAACCGCCCGATACTTCCAATGGTTATTAATTTTCTGTGTTTCGGAGAATTAACGACGCTGTCGTCATCGTCGATATCAATAAAATGGTATCTTGAATATTTATTTTCGGGAGGAATAATTTTGCCAATCGGGACGTCTATCGTTCACGCTTATAGACCGTTTCATAGTCTTTGCATTAAACGTAACATTTAGTAACGACTTTGAAAATGATGGTAAAAATGGAAATACAACCGGTACGGTAATGCTCTCGTTTATAGAGCAACGACGGAGAATTTTATAAGGAGATATAGCGACGCAAGTGGCACTATAATTTTGGCATTAATACGCAGACTGTATAACTTAGTTTTAACGATCGCCATCGATTTAACCATGGCACGGCGAATTCTTCGAGCTGCTCACCTGGCCTGTAATCGCGGTTTATTCGCAACATACGATTTAGCATGGCGTCGTATGGGTTTGGCGCAGCCGGTTTATCGAGCTAGCAACGTCGGCGAGAAATAAAGACCCTATTAATGCGAAGCGGGATTAGGGGGTAGCTCGCCCGGGGTTTAGCTTTCGGATGGCTGCGTGCATCCTGCAGCCGAATTTTCGGATAACGATTCGAGGCACCGTTTTCGCTGTCAGACTCGTGCTGGCGAATATTACTTGCCGTCCGAAATTGTAACTGTCCCCGAGAATGTCTTCCGGATAAACTAGAGCGAAACGTACGACGTGCCATAGTTTTAAGTAGCCCGATGCG